CGGCTTGGAGTCGAGTGGAATTCCTCGAGGATAATCGAGATAATCGAAGTGAAACGAGGAAGTCGGATCACGTTTCGGGAAAGAACCATCGGATAGTACGTCCTTGACGATTTCCGATCCTATGGAAGGTATTTTTAGGTTTTTTTTTTTATTTCGAGAAAAAGACTTGATCTGAGTAGACTTGAATATTTAGGTACCCCTTGCTCTACTCCTGAGAGAAGATATCAGTGCATTGTTGGTTCAAGTAAGATACATCCGGGGTAGAAATTTTGAGGCATCTCAATTGCTTGCAGAGGATAGTCGGGTGCACTAGAAAGCAGACTGGGTATATCTTGTGCACTGGAGATGCAATCAAGGGACATTGAACCCTCTCCGCAGGCCCTCAAGACATTCATCAACTGGGGGTTCAAAACAACTCGGATATATACACTTCAACAGGAATTTTTTTTCTAGAATTTTTGTTGAATATTCGTGGAAATGGCTATGGTAAAAAGAAAATCTATTTCTCAACTATTCGATTCATCGATCGAATCGACTTAGTTAAATGGCATTCGGTTTAACACCCCCTCGTTACGTCAAATCCCAACCACTTTGACCTCACTCAGACACTCTTCCACCTCATATCCCGGTCTTTGCCGATGTTGACGAAAAAATCCTCGAGACCCAGTGTCTCGGGATTTTCCCCTATAAATCCAAGTAGTCGCTCAACTGGAATCACCCTGTAGGAGAGAGACCGAGAATAACGAGACGACCAAAGTCTGAGGAAGCTGAGAGCGTTTTCCCGTGAGAAACCAAGAGACCCCGGCAAAATGCCGGTTTTGCCCTCTACCCCCGGTGGGAGTCGTAAAGTTAAATTAAAAATTTCCATGCGCAACGGCACACGTACGGCCATGACCAACTTTAAAGAAAATAGGGGAGGGGCTTTCAAATAATAATGAGGGGAAAAAAAAAATTGGGTGAAATGAGAAACAAAGTAATAGAGTATCTTCAGGATTTCAATGGGAAAATCTCTTACAAATTCCATTAAAATTTTGTGGCACAGAAAAAAATCGAGAGAAGGTTATCACCCCGGGTGAAAAAAAAATCGAAACATTTTTTCCAAATTTTCAAAAAATTTCTGGAAAATTTTTTTTATGATACAAAAAAAAATTGGAAAACAAAACAATTTTATTGTTGGGAAAGGATTTGAAAAATTTTTCAAAAATTTGAATGGAAAACTTTTTTTATTATTTCGATGGCGTATTTTTTGAGAATATTGAAAAATCAAAAAAGTAAAGAAACAACAGTATAATTAAACGAAAAAATGATATTCGTCAAAATTTCTAGAAAATTATTTAAAAAATTTTCCAAAACAAATTTTTGAAATTTAAAAAAAATTAAATTAATTAAAATTAAATTAAAATTTTTGAAAAGTTTTCCAAAACATTTCCCAAAAATACAATTGTTTCGTCTCCCAATTTGTTTTTTGTTTCAAAAAAAAAATTCTGAAAAGTTTTCCAGAAATTTTTTGAAAATTTGGAAAAAATATTCCGATCCAAATTTTTTTACGCGGGACCACACGTCTTTGAAATTTTTGAAATTTTTGGATTCTTCGGCGGCTGGGGAGAGTAAGATGTGAAATTAATTAGTTTAGGAGTAATTAGTTGAAGATTGCGGGGGTGTGGGAGATTAGTTGGAAATTTGAATTCTCTTGGTAATTCGGCGCGGTCTGATGGACACTGCATTGGATGGCGTCCCAATTGGAGATTGGCACGACCAATTACCCATGGGTTACCAAGGCGAAGCCCTTCGGTTTCCCGGGCTGAGTTCAGAAAATTATTAGGGCTTCACACGACCGGTGATCAAGGCCCTGGCAAGTTAGGACTGATTCCAATACACCATTTCGGAGGAGATGGAATCGACCACCGAACCGGCGACTGCTGCGCAGTAGTATTTAATTACTACAGTTATTTCCGGTTATGTTGAGGGAGCAATTGGAAGTAGAAAGGATGCAACCGCAAAAATTACGTATTTCAATAGAATACTTTCCTCCCAAAATGACCAATAATTCTAGCATAAAAACTTCGGCGAAATTAAATAAAAATAGTGCGGAAGAATTGCGATAATTTTTAGCATTTGAAATTCATTTCCTCTGGAATTAGTATAAAATTGTAAATTTTTATACTGTTCCCACCCGGTACATAATTCTGAAATATATTTCGCCGCACGCCTCAAGCTTTTGTACAGTAAAACTTCACACACCAATAAATCTCGAAACTCGGCGACAAGTAATCGCCAAAAATTCGAAGATCGGCAAAGAAATGGGCGAGGCGTGGATTCGCGAATTCCAGTGGTAAAAATCATTAATAAAAATTCCCCGGGAATAGAAAATCCCCGGGCTCAATGACTCGACTAAATTGAATCGTTATCAAAACTCTCGATTCATTCAGTATTCTCTCATTATACCTGAGATTTTACGATCACCAGACGATGGCCGGGAAAATTTTTATTCTCAACTTTACGAGCTATCCCTCCACCCTCCTCCCCAGTTATATGCAATCGAACATGTGATTACTTGAAGGCGCAGCAACCACGTGTACACGAAAACCAATAGCGGAAATATCTGTTGAGCAAGACGGTTTATAGAGAGGTCGGGAGGGTGATTTGGCTCGCTGATTTATGCCGCAGTATAATAAAATTGAGAATTACAGTATTTGAAACGGCGGGGAGGAGCTCAGAGAATGCAGAAGTCTGGAATAGATTTTATAGATTGACTTTCTGAATTTATTTTAGGATACGGACGTCTCAACTTGAGACTTTTGAGAGTCAACCTGAAATTGCTAGAAAATCCGCCTGTCTAATAATAACATTTCTTATACGAAAACGAAGAAAAAAAAAAAAAATTTATTCCTTCCGTTACGCTTCACCATAACTGAATTATCCAGGTACACATGACTGCGCAAAAATCCTGAATGTTGATCCATTTCAATTTTTCCGATTTATCTCATTGTATCGCGAATTCATAAAAGCCATCGGTCCCTCCGCCCATCCGTACCGGCCCAACTATTGAGTCCGTTTGTATGCATAACCAATGGACTTTTCGTGTTGTCCGATTCTTTGATGGAAATGAAATAGAAGTGAAAAATTGATGGAGTGGGTGGATGCAAGAGCGATAGCCAGTAGTTGTGGCATAACTCGCGGAGTAAAAAGAGCCAATTCCTATATCTCGCAACCGTTCCCCGGAAACTAGTGCTTCCTCGAGTTTTATGTTGCCTCGTCTCTTTCGCTCCGTTTCACCTGTGCCCTCGAGAGATAGACCAACTGTAGCACAGGACGAGAAGCAGCGGTTGGCAACCGGCAACCGAGAGGGAATTACTGTGCAGAGCTAGACCGGTCGATAGCTGGCGGGTAGCAACAGCCAGCTGAGCGCTTTTTCCTCTGCTTTTTTCGCCAACCCCCAAACGAAAAAAAAAAAAAAAATTCACGGATTGACATTCCCCGATTAATTTTCCTTGACGATTTTCTGGGAAATTGAAGAAATTCCGTTCGATCGAGATGAATAATTCTCTCAATGCGGCCCGATGAATGAATGAAGGATGAAGGATGATTTGAGGATGAAAAAATCCTTGAATACTTGATATGAAAAATAAATGGAGATATATTCATACGGCTCTCGACTAATGCGAGATTAAAAATTGAATGGATAATTGAGATTGGGTAGTGGGCAGTGGAATTTGTTTGAAGTGAACTTCCGGTCGATATTGTCGATGAATTTGACGGGAATAGATGATGAAATGGATGAAACAAACCGATAGGATGTGAAACTGTTGATTATTTATTTTCCAATTGGACGCATTGGGGCATGGTACATTTAATTAATTGTCCATGATTACACAGATTTGCCTGGGGATTCAGGGTGATTAATCGGTGGCGTTGTATTGTTGAATAAAATACATGAACAATGGTTATGCCGGTGAGCAATGAAAGAGGGTGAATGATTTTGCCGGGGGAAATAATGGGTTGGTGTGCATACCCAGTGTGGGGTGGTGGGGTGGTGGGGTTTTGTGACTCTCGGCGAGTGTTGGCTGGTCGATCAGGAAATCGGGTCGCAGGATGTTTCCTTCCGGGGTATTCGTCTGCCGCTACCAGACCCATCCTACCCTGGAGTCGTTAAAGAAAATACGACGTCTGGAGGGAGTTTAAGCACCCGACGGATCGTCAAACTTTAACGCTTTCGGAGAGACTACTATCAACTATGGACCAGCTAAACTGATAACGTGTAACGAGCTACTGGCGGGGTAGACGGATAAAAGATAAAAAAAAAAAAATTACCCGTGGAAAATGTTTGTTCTTCTACCCTGATTTTCGGAATGCCCCGGAATAAAAGTTTTACGGTGGAATAATGGATGAATTTTGAGAGTTAGTCATTCAAACTCAAAGGGAAAAACAGATTAGCAAATTTTTCATTTTTATGTATTGGAAAAATATAAAAATATTGAATCTTGTCTGGGGAAAACCTTGTATTTTCCACCTAATCCACACACCTGATCCACACGTAAAATTGTTTAGATGAGGCGTCCAAAGTTTTTAACTTTGTTCGCGTTCGCTTAACCGCACCCCTTCGAGAATTCATGGCAATTGAATAGTCCAGCCAATTCATCCCGAAATTACAGTGTTTATTCGCGATTTCAGCCCGCGCAAATCGCATTAACCCTTTCCCGTCATCACTGAGACACGGAAGAAATCCATTTCTGGTACATCACGTGGGACACGCGTGCATAATCAACTACCCTAAACCGTGCGATTTACCCCGTATTCCACAAGATGAATTAACTATAACACTAGGGTCGATTAACCAAAATTACAGTGGCACAATGATTTATTGCCAGACCGATGGATCGCGGGTGATGATAAGACGCTGGAGTGGCACCTTATCACACAAGATTGTTATCGCTCTATGGCTGACCCTGAGTGCAACAATTTTCATAACTTTTCAATGGATAATCATAAAAATTACTCACACTTGAGACGTTGTACGCTCTGTACTGCTCCTTGGGGCTGCTGGCTTCATTCTGCTCGCACTGTTTATTCTTGAATGCCCGATAATTTTCCCTCAGCTGCTTGCCATACTGCAACAAACATGCAGAAATTATTGTAGTCATTTTTTTATGGCAGTCAGACTCAATAACTACATGAAAACTATTGAAAACTTTTCAACAACGTGAAAACTCCACGGACAACAATAAATATTTGAACCAAATATATTCATCATTGTTAATAAAATCATGGGAAAATCAATTTTTCATCGATATTTATCGGATATGGAATATACCAGGATCAAGTAATTTAAAGATTGGATAATCCCTGTAAATATTGGAAAGTTCTAGATTTTGATTGAGTTATTACCGAGAAATTGACGGAAATGGGAGAAGAATTAATGGATTTTGTTTTCATGGAGGAAACGCATCCCGAATAAAACAACTCTGCAACAAGCTTCCCCAACAAATCTTAAGCATGCGGTTGACTTGGCAAAACCAAGGCCAGTGGTAGGAGGCAAATATCATTTATCGGCCAGTTGGTTTTGGAAGTGAAATGGCCCCCAAGGAAGTTGGCTAGTTGCGGGAGAATCAAACTCCAGTGGTCGTACACCACAATAGGCCAAACATCACCTCCAAATGTTGAGATTCAAAGTTTCGTAATTTCCTCCGTTTTACCGAGGGGGTTGAGGGATATCAGCCGTGTGCCTCTCCTCAATTTATGTACCATCTGCGTGTATATAGTGAAGTATATGCGTCATGTTATGTTAGTTGGCTGTAACAGCGGGGTCGTCGCGCAGTTATGTATAGAAGGGGGCGCGTATGTACCCACCCAGTATCGACCCAGTGAGAAGACATGCGGACATCCCAGTGAATCCTCCCTTCGCCATTAATTTTTTTTTTCTTTCAATCCCCACTATCAACTCTCAATGGTATCAATTTTCACTCAACCCGATACCAAATCGTCGATAAACTAGTCCTTGACATTCGTGATTAATTTTAGTGCAAGTGGTGAAATCGAGGAGATCCATTGTTCAATTGGAGAGATCAATTGGACGAAGATACGTTGCGTTTTCATTGAAACGAGCTAATTAATCTGAGAAGTGATGAAGATGTCGTTATTCAGAATCAAAAGAGTGCTTGTATTTTGAAAGATGCCAGGGCCAAGGAGAGAGACTACTAATTGAAGGTGGCTTTCAGGCATTACCAAGCGCGTTCGAATAATTACGTAATTGAATGACCCGAGGACCCATTGGCAAGTGGGAGATGGAGATAGAGAGATTGCTGAAGTAAAGTGGGTTGTGGATGGAGGCGAATGATAGCGCTTACGGCTCAACTACGGTTAATGAGTAAGCCCTGGATCCAGGGATAATGAAGTATGTAACTTCAGATGATGAGACAGTCTGTTATTAATTGAATCTCCCGAGAAATGAGTCAATTGATAGTTGGGTTAACTGATCGAATTCCCGGTAGTCTAGATTTTTCAATTTCTTCATAAAAATTTACTCGAGTCTCTGCAAAGACACCGAGATACTCATTACCATTAGAACCCCAATCTCATCCATTTTACGCATACCAAATATTCCCTTAAACCGGAAATTATCATTCCTTCCAGGAGACAGCTCCGATGATATCGAATAACTGAAGCTCAGAAAATTGAAGTTGTCTACAACGGACCAATCCAAGAAGCTGACGCGACATTTTCCATTCCCCCGAGTTCATCCGAGATATCCACAGGAGAGAGTGAGAGAGAGGAGACATCCCACTGACTGTTTTTCCCCTCGTTCTTCGGAATCGACACAGATTGAAAGCGACGAAAAGAGATTGCCGAGAAAGAATATCCCCCTGGACCCAAGACTAATCCACGAACTGCAACCCAAAAATAAAAGTGGGTGGGAGAAAGAGAAAAAAAAAGTCAAGTACGAAGATTGGTAGAAAATGCTGAAGAACTCAGCGAAGCGTTCACACAAGTTGATCCCGGACGAATATTCCCTGGCAGCGGATGATGAGAATGAGGTGGCCCGAGGTTCAAGATAAAACTAGTGTACATAGGTATAGTTTTTCAATGACTAAAGCAAAATACTAGAGTAGTAGAGACACTCAGCAGTAGAGAACTGTTGGTGCATGATGGTTTTCTCAGCAGATATACCCGAGGGGATGCACCACCATCACCACCATTCCGTCGTCTTTCCCCTTTATTTCCTTGGTTGGAGATCGCAAAATGAAAGAGTTACAAAGTCCCTCTTGCCTCGAAAGAACTGTTAAGTACTACCTTCCGCCTGAGCTGCAGAGAAACCACGGAGAAAAAAATAACCAAAAGGACCTAAAATGAAGAGAACGATAAAGTCTGAGGCTCGAGTTGAAGGAGAAAGAGAAAGGATAGAGGGAATGAGAGTTGAGAGTAAAGCAAGCGGTGAGAAATCTCGTGAAGAGAAATTGCAATGTCGACTTATTTAAAAAAGCTGCGTATTGGTCTGTGTGAGGGCAGAACTGGTTGGGCAATGATATGCCAAAGACATCACGAAACACTTGACACGTTGACAAAGGCATGTGCTTGAGCACCAAGTCGAGCTTCAAGGGCAGTCTCAGACACCACTTGGCCACTTGGCCACCCTCAGCTTCATTTTCCCATTGCAATTTACCATTTTTGACTAACTATATTTGTCGATATTATCAGGGCGTCTGCATGGTGCCACGTAATTGGCATCTGAGAAATTTAAACCGAGGAATAGCTATCTGGCCCTTGATGGGATAAAAACGTATAGATTGATTGATGCACTGTACCTTGGCGAACCTCATGGCTGTGAGCCAGCAGGTGCGTGACTTTTCACTGTTGAATGCTATGACCTTGAGACCTGGTACCCCGGCCTCCGTGTCTTCGGCTTCAGCGTTGCTGGAGGGCCTCAGACAGGCGCCCCACTCAAAGGGCGCGTTGAAGTACTTCTTTGCGTTCGGAATCTTGTACACGTGATAATCGGACAAATGGGCAAATGGTACTGCCTGCTCGTTATCCTGAAACATAAATCACATATTTTGGTTAGTCTCATCGATTCAACCTATTTCAAATACAGGATGTTAATATTACTGTGTACCTAGTAAAATAGCCAATAGTTAACGTAAAATGTAAATAACAAATGGTAAAAGTCATCCCTGAATGTTTACTCATGTTTAGAGACATCATTTCCGGGTTTGAGTTGCAACGGAAAATCCATAAACAGCGCGAATATCCCATACCGTTAACATTTAATTGACTTAACCATCAAATTCTGGGCAAAAAGTCTCTCTCCATACACTCCTCATGAATAATATAAGTACCATTCTCGGAAGAACAATAATTCATACTTCTCCGGACATGAGCCTGCGTGCTATGATGTCCCCTGATGATTAGTGCACAGTACGTGTTGTATGGCCAGAGGCTGTCCATTATACTCCCACAATTTTTTAAATAATCAAATCCCTGAATGCTTATGAGGAAAAACGTTTCAATTGAATAGCTTGAGCGGTGCATTTGTTGAGATCATGGGAATGGAATGGAAAATATATATTTCTGTAAACGAGAGAATACAAAAAAAAAATGAGGATTGTGTGTAAGAGGCAAGACGTTGGGCTTGGCAGCGCACAATAATGAGTTATGAGAAATGGCTCAAGGATTGCGCAATTATTGCTTCAGTTCTTCTCATGCCAATTCACGTTAAAGCATTCCAATATTTTCGACAATTACGGCTTTCACTGTCCGTTCATTCCACCACTTTTCCGGCATTTTCCCCGCATTATCGAATAATAATTATAATTATCGACAAGACAGTAAACTTTGAAATTCGGAAAATTTGATATTTATAACCCCTGGTATATATCAAGGAACAACTTCTAAAATCGGTATTATAATTCATGGAAATTTTGCACATCGTTTTCTTGACTCATTAATTCAATACCAGTGAATCATCAGATTTAGCACTTGACTGTGGAATTATTATTTGAACAATTTCTGAAATGTCAAAAAATAGGCAAACTAAATAGCGTATATTCTTGTTAATTGCAACCTAGACGTGCTGTTTTCTCCCAGCAAATTTGTCCATCCGTTTCACCTTCCTCTCGTTACACAATCACTTGAAGGAGGAGGGGAGGAGAACGAGGAGGACGTGGAGGACGAGGAGAACGAGGTGGAAGTGGAGGACGAGATGGAACTGGAGGACGAGGTGGAAGTGGAGGACGAGATGGAACTGGAGGACGAGGTGGAAGTGGAGGCTGTGAGGATACGTCAGATACATTTGTGGGGTGCGAAGGAGGTATGTGCAGCGTACAACACTGAGCTGGTCCTCAAATATTTGACGGTGCAGCATTATATCCCCGTATCTCCTGTATAACGAATAGCGCCAGTTACTATCGCCTCTATGCCAACAGGATTTCCCAAGGTGAATATCTCCCAGCTAGGCGCCTTGCGACGTTCTAATATTGGCCAAGTACACAACCCTGTCTTGACTAACAATGCAACGTCGCACGAATACTCGACGCTAAATTCACAGGTGGGAGAGCGGCCATTTCCATCTTCTATTACAGCAATAATTTACCCCCCTCCCACCGCCAACTGATAACATTCGATTAATCATGTTCAATCGTTCATCAGCCCTCGATTAATTAAATCAATGAACTCTTTTAGTAATTATTCTAGAGAAGACTTTCAGGCAAAGACGGGAGACTAATTTTTCTGGGCGAGAATTTTCAATCTAAAATTGTTGACACTCGGAAAATATGTGAACGCAATGAATGAAAAGTTGGCCCAGGTCAGAATTTCCTGAAAGAGGAACTCGAATCTGACTCATCGCTGAATTCGATCGCAATGATATAAAGCAGTTGCTTCTAACACCTGTCCATTGACAATCCGCGCGTTATAATCTTTATCGCGGGTCTCGTCGCTGTCATCCGTGCGTTCAGCGATCAATTGAGAGGAATTACTGTAGAAATGAAGGAAAAAAGACCGCTGAAGAAATCGAAAATGAGAAAAAAAAAATGTTATTCACGAGAAACCGGTGGGTAAGCAAGTTTTCGAAGGGGACCGGCTCAACCGGTTTGAAAATACAATTCCAGAAGTCTTGAGATTAGCAATTCGTGATTAAACGACGATCCCTGTTGTGAATTTTGAGAGGCTCCATGATAAAACAACCCGGTTGATGAATTGTTGCACTCCATCCTGGGATGATCGGGTGGAATAGAGAAATTGAGAAACGATAAATCATTGGTGTCATCGAAATCATCTGTTCCACTTCAACAGCAGTTGAAGGCAATCTTCTCGGCAATTAACCGTGAAAAAAAAAACTCGGTTCAAGTATTAATTTGGATTGAGCTCCCGCTGGTGAATATTCATGACTCCGATGGAATTGTAAGTCTCTTTAATTGATCGATGAAAGATGATCGGCACTGATTGAATCATCTCAATGGGGAATATTCGATAAACATATCAGTAAATCGATCCAATCAATCTCAAGTTCTCAAGTATCTTTCACGTTGGCACCGCTTGCCAAATCTCTACTGTCGTCATCACCGAGAGACAACCGACACCAAAATTAAAGCGCCAACACTCCGCCGAGGATCATGCATCTAAGGATATCCATAATATATTTAATACCGATTTATAAAAATCGGTTGAAATCACAAGTCGTTACCGTCGACAGCTTGATTGTAATTGACGTGGCGAAAAAAATTTTTCGCCACCGGTAAGAATGGAAAAAAAAAATGGCGAAAAATGTATAATTCTCGGGAGGGTCAAGTGTCTTAAAATATCCAGAAATTTACGATTGTTGGCATCGACTTGGACGCGACTCGCTGAGGATTGAGGCTCGTCGTCTTGAGAAGTCACTAGTCCGCGAGGATGTGATTATAGAATCACCATATCTGCAATTTTTCGCTCGGGCATAGGTCAGGTTTCTTTCTTGGGCTGATTTTCCACAGTCGAAAATTGGATGATTTAGGCACAACGCCAAGGCGAATTGGGAGCGCTTGTTTTTATCTCCGAGCAGAGATTGACGTGAAATCCTCGCCATACGTTGAAATATGGCACACGTTTGAAATTAAGGATGACAAGTTGAATGTATTAATGGAGAGAATTAGAGCAGATCAATCACGGTGAAGTGTACCCGTTGATTTTTTATCCTGCAAATATTCGTCAATATTCGAAATTTTGAATTCAACGCTTGATTATTATTTTTCTTTTACTGCGAATTTAGTGGGTCGCATTACGCAATCACTGTCTGAAAATATTCGTCGGACGCGCTAATATCTTCATAATTCAGTGGGAATGCGAAATCACCTTTCTTGTCGAATGAAATCAGCTTTCAACTCGATTTTGGGTCACTCATCGCGCACTCATACATCAGGAAAATTACCTGCAATGTCTCTGTGGACAGTCGGATTAACCTCGCAAACTGTACAACATTACTGGAGATAATCCTCAAGTGAAACTGTGATTATAGATCCGCGGCTGAATGTAGGCCATCGCTGTACTGTATTGCCAGTATCAAGAGCCCCGTGGCATTATCATTACGGTAATAACGCAAGAGTAACGGTAAACGCACTGACGGAAGTTGACGATGACAATGATAGGAGATATATATACAGCATTGGGGAATCAACCCCAACTGTTTAATATCATTTAATTCATCAATAAATCCATCAACGTGGTGGAAAATTTAAAAATTGCCGCGCATTTTGACGAAACAAAAATGTCCATACAATTTTACAAGTGAAAAAATCGAGTAACAAAACAATTGTAGTTTTGGTAAATGTTTTGAAAAATTTGAATAGGAAATTTTTTTTATAATTTTCTAGAAATTTTTGCGAATATAATTTTTTCTTTTAATTATCCTGTTCTTTTCTTACTTTTTTGATTTTTCAATATTCTCAAAAAATACGCCATCTAAATGATAAAAAAAGTTTTCCTATTCAAATTTTTGAAAAATTTTTCAAAACCTTTCCCAAAAATAAAATTGTTCTGTCGTCCTATTTTTTTTTGTTTCATAAAGAAAAAATCTGAAAAATTTCCCAGAAATTTTTGGAAAATTTGGAAAAAATATTCCGATTACAATTTTTTTTTACCCGGGCAGAAAATAATCCAGCTATTATAAGAGAACTCGTTATTGGATCTTCCTAATAGAATTTGTCTTCCACGTCGATTCCCCGAAGTCATTCATACCCCAGTATAATCGACTCGCAATACAACGGCTGAGGCAATATTATTTTCCAAACTTTAACAGTTTTATGTAAATCGAGAATTTTCACCTCAATTGAGCACAATGTAATTTCAACGTCTTTATACTCATTTCGCAATTTCATACAAATGGATATTGCTGGTAGAAGAAAATGGGAAAATGGAAATGGCCAAGAGGAGGAAAAGGGCCAAAACACTTTGAATTCGAGTTGAAGGGGATACACGTTAACGAGTTTATTGTTTCTCGCTTTAGCATTTACGGTGCAGGAGCGCCCCTTGGTTCGGAATAAACCCAGGTGGTAAGTGTTTTGGGATAGTGGACGATCCAACGAAATCTCCTCGTTTCCATTATTTTTACCGTTTACTTTGCGCACTCAAGTGTTTTTGAGTGACCAAGGTTACGATTTCAATTCTTAATTATTGAAATTCATCATTTCATCGAATTAAAATCACGCCGACTCATCAATTTTTTTTCCACGGGAGCTGATATCATATTTGAGGCATTACCGAGCAAAAAAATTCAAGGCTGAGTTACGATAGAGGCACAATTTCGACGTAAAACCTGAGATAAATTTAAAAAAAAAGGACGGAAAAAATTCACTGCCAACCATTTGATCGATCGTTCGCTTCATTCCGTTTTTTCCAACACGATGACATTTCCGATAATTATTAAATTATTCCCATTCTATTTTGAAATTAATTTTTCGTACTTGAAGATTGACTAACTCCAGTCAATGCTATGTACTTCTTTTTTTTATTCAATATTCGTGAAAAATTCGCTTGAAATTTCGCGCGCCGGATTTTTATAGAT